TGTGTGTATGTGATCGGCTCGCCCTGACAGTTTGTGTGTATGTGATCGGCTCGTCCTGACAGGTTGTATGTGTGTGATCGGTTTGCCCTGGCAGGGTGAGTGTATGTGATCGGCTCACCCTGGCAGGTTGTATGTGTGTGATTGGCCCATCCTGGCAGGTTGTATTTGTGTGATCGGCTCGTCCTGACAGGTTGTGTGTATGTGATCGGCTCGCCCTGGCAGGTTGTATTTGTGTGATCGGCTCGCCCTGGCAGGTTGTATGTGTGTGATCGGCTCGCCCTGGCAGGTTGTATGTGTGTGATCGGCTCGCCCTGGCAGGCTGTTAATTGTTCGTCTGCAATAACTCTCCTGATTCTTCTCCTTCAGATTAATAATAAAGCAGCGACAGGGGAAGAAGTCCCTCGTACAATCATTGTCACCACGCGGTCACAGTACGGGTTACCCGAGGACGCCGTGGTGTACTGCAACTTCAACCAGCTGTATAAGATTGACCCCCCGACGCTGCAGATGTGGGCCAATGTAAGTAGCCTGCAGCAGGTTCTATATACAGATGATAATTTAACAATAATCTGCGCTTAAGAAAAGAATCCTAAATCAAAAGATAAAAACTACTACTGAGCTGCTATGCAAAAGGAGCTGAAAGCTTCTACAGATCATAATCAACACCGCGCCGAATATAACTTGAATAAATACATTAATAACTAAATTATCCCCCAAACAAATCCTTAGGAAAATTAATGAAGGATCAATCAAAAATCAATGTGAATAATAAGGTGAAAAAAAGAAATAAAAATATCGCAAATACAATGTAATCCATGAAAAAATAACATGTGAAAGTGGTGATATAAATCCAACAATCAATAATGTTCTCCTAAATAATCTTTGATCAACAAATAAATTAGTAAATCAATTCAATGTGAGTGATAAATGCGCCTCATAAACAGGGACAGCTCATACAATTAGTAACATCATCCAAAAAGTAGCATAAATATTGTTACATCCGAACCCAATCTCAAATGTAACAAAATGACGAGTGAACTTCCCATATAAAGTCCAAACCAATTCCAGTAACTGGTGAATGAAGTGATAGTTTCACTGAGACAAATCATCAATTCCCCTCCTTGTGCAAAACGACCCCCCCCTCCCCCCAAGGGTATGTACTCACCAGATAATTTATTCCCGGGGGGGGGATCGTTTTGCAAAAAGAGTTTTGATCAACAAATAAATTAGTAAATCAATTCAATGTGAGTGATAAATGCGCCTCATAAACAGGGACAGCTCATACAATTAGTAACATCATCCAAAAAGTAGCATAAATATTGTTACATCCGAACCCAATCTCAAATGTAACAAAATGACGAGTGAACTTCCCATATAAAGTCCAAACCAATTCCAGTAACTGGTGAATGAAGTGATAGTTTCACTGAGACAAATCATCAATTCCCCTCCTTGTGCAAAACGACCCCCCCCTCCCCCCAAGGGTATGTACTCACCAGATAATTTATTCCCGGGGGGGGGGATCGTTTTGCACAAGGAGGGGAATTGATGATTTGTCTCAGTGAAACTATCACTTCATTCACCAGTTACTGGAATTGGACTTTATATGGGAAGTTCACTCGTCATTTTGTTACATTTGAGATTGGGTTCGGATGTAACAATATTTATGCTACTTTTTGGATGATGTTACTAATTGTATGAGCTGTCCCTGTTTATGAGGCGCATTTATCACTCACATTGAATTGATTTACTAATTTATTTGTTGATCAAAGATTATTTAGGAGAACATTATTGATTGTTGGATTTATATCACCACTTTCACATGTTATTTTTTCATGGATTACATTGTATTTGCGATATTTTTATTTCTTTTTTTCACCTTATTATTCACATTGATTTTTGATTGATCCTTAACCCCTTCATGACTGAGCTCGTTTTCAGTTTCTGTTCATAAATGACACACTTCTTACATGTTTGCTGTGTGATTCTTTCACAGTGATATACTTTCTTACTAAATGTACCCACACATGTTATATATTGTGTTTTAGAGGACAGATAGGGCTATATAATTATCACATGTGTGTACCTAACCCCTCACTTTGAATAAAATAAAAAAATGAGGAAAAAAAAATAGAAGAAAACATTTTTTTCACAAGTTTTGATTATTTATTTTAGAATTTTTTTTATATTAATTATAGTATATAAATATATATTTACAGATCATTTTTATTTTCCTAATTTTTTTTTACACTTTGTAAAAAAATGTTTTAAAAAAAACCTTTTGTTTTTTTGTCCGTTTATATCGGTCACTATGACTGGTTGATAAATTAACTTTTTTTCTAAAAAAATTTGGCAATTAGTCCGCTCCAAACTTAGGAACAGCTAATAATAAATAACCTCAGAGACGGATCCTGACTTTAGTCAGATTCAGATCTCACTAAAAGCTCTTTGATCGGCCCAGACCATCAGAACCGATACATTTCACTCAAAGGATATACATTGTATCTTTTTAGTGAAATGTATCTAAACATCGGGCTCTCGAGCTGTCAAAACAAATGGCAGAGAGGTGAGTCACTGCTGCCTCTGCTATTTTCACCTGTCAGATACGGGATCGCAAATTGCGGTCCACGTAACGGCTTCTTTCTTTCATTAATGAATGCCTCAATACTGAGACATTCATTAGTGACTGGTAACTGCTGAGAATCCGCTGTTACCGGCATTGCAAAGCCCGATATAACTCGTCACGTACAGTGTATGTGGCCAGTCATATAGGCACAAAGTGCCGGGACATACACTGTACGTCTCCCGTCACGAAGGGGTTAAGGAATGTTTGGGGATAATGTTACTTATTTATTCAAGTTATTATTCGCTTTTTGTTTTCATCTATTTAATTTATATTCAGCGCTGTGTTGATTTTATTAAGTTCTATATACAGAAGGAATCCTCCGTGGAGATGGTGGCGGTCGCGTACTATAGTGTACAGGAGAAGGCGATGAGGCCGCGTCTGCTCCTCTTTTCTATATTGCGACCCCCCCCATCGGTCTCCTTGTATAATTGGGTGGGTGTCAGCTCCGGCACTGTTTTGGTTATTGTGATGTAATGTTTCCCCAGATTCTGAAGCGCGTTCCCAACAGCGTCTTGTGGCTTTTGCGATTTCCTGCCGTCGGTGAGCCGAACATTCAACAATACGCCCAGAATATGGGGCTGCCGCAGTCCAGGATCGTCTTCTCTCCGGTCGCTCCTAAAGAAGAACATGTGCGAAGAGGACAGCTGGCCGACGTGTGCTTGGATACCCCTCTGTGTAATGGGCACACCACTGGGATGGATGTCCTCTGGGCTGGCACACCTATGGTCACTATGCCAGGTGAGCAATGTAAGACATGCTCTCATACTCCATAAAGGCCGATTTTGTGCATTTCATGGAGTCATGGGAAGAATATTGTATGTGGAATATCTGCTGTTCACTAGTAACCATTGCCGGGGTGTGTGGGTGAGGATATAACCATTGCCGGGGTATGTGGGTGAGGATATAACCATTGCCGGGGTGTGTGGGTGAGGATATAACCATTGCCGGGGTATGTGGGTGAGGATATAACCATTGCCGGGGTGTGTGGGTGAGGATATAACCATTGCCGGGGTTTGTGGGTGAGGATATAACCATTGCCGGGGTGTGTGGGTGAGGATATAACCATTGCCGGGGTGTGTGGGTGAGGATATAACCATTGCCGGGGTGTGTGGGTGAGGATATAACCATTGCCGGGGTGTGTGGGTGAGGATATAACCATTGCCGGGGTGTGTGGGTGAGGATATAACCATTGCCGGGGTGTGTGGGTGAGGATATAACCATTGCCGGGGTGTGTGGGTGAGGATATAACCATTGCCGGGGTGTGTGGGTGAGGATATAACCATTGCCGGGGTGTGTGGGTGAGGATATAACCATTGCCGGGGTGTGTGGGTGAGGATATAACCATTGCCGGGGTGTGTGGGTGAGGATATAACCATTGCCGGGGTGTGTGGGTGAGGATATAACCATTGCCGGGGTGTGTGGGTGAGGATATAACCATTGCCGGGGTGTGTGGGTGAGGATATAACCATTGCCGGGGTGTGTGGGTGAGGATATAACCATTGCCGGGGTGTGTGGGTGAGGATATAACCATTGCCGGGGTGTGTGGGTGAGGATATAACCATTGCCGGGGTGTGTGGGTGAGGATATAACCATTGCCGGGGTGTGTGGGTGAGGATATAACCATTGCCGGGGTGTGTGGGTGAGGATATAACCATTGCCGGGGTGTGTGGGTGAGGATATAACCATTGCCGGGGTGTGTGGGTGAGGATATAACCATTGCCGGGGTGTGTGGGTGAGGATATAACCATTGCCGGGGTGTGTGGGTGAGGATATAACCATTGCCGGGGTGTGTGGGTGAGGATATAACCATTGCCGGGGTGTGTGGGTGAGGATATAACCATTGCCGGGGTGTGTGGGTGAGGATATAACCATTGCCGGGGTGTGTGGGTGAGGATATAACCATTGCCGGGGTGTGTGGGTGAGGATATAACCATTGCCGGGGTGTGTGGGTGAGGATATAACCATTGCCGGGGTGTGTGGGTGAGGATATAACCATTGCCGGGGTGTGTGGGTGAGGATATAACCATTGCCGGGGTGTGTGGGTGAGGATATAACCATTGCCGGGGTGTGTGGGTGAGGATATAACCATTGCCGGGGTGTGTGGGTGAGGATATAACCATTGCCGGGGTGTGTGGGTGAGGATATAACCATTGCCGGGGTGTGTGGGTGAGGATATAACCATTGCCGGGGTGTGTGGGTGAGGATATAACCATTGCCGGGGTGTGTGGGTGAGGATATAACCATTGCCGGGGTGTGTGGGTGAGGATATAACCATTGCCGGGGTGTGTGGGTGAGGATATAACCATTGCCGGGGTGTGTGGGTGAGGATATAACCATTGCCGGGGTGTGTGGGTGAGGATATAACCATTGCCGGGGTGTGTGGGTGAGGATATAACCATTGCCGGGGTGTGTGGGTGAGGATATAACCATTGCCGGGGTGTGTGGGTGAGGATATAACCATTGCCGGGGTGTGTGGGTGAGGATATAACCATTGCCGGGGTGTGTGGGTGAGGATATAACCATTGCCGGGGTGTGTGGGTGAGGATATAACCATTGCCGGGGTGTGTGGGTGAGGATATAACCATTGCCGGGGTTCTCACGGCTTTGGGCTATACCATCCTCCACTCATCTAGGAATACTTTCCACAAGATTTTGGAGGGTGTCTGTGTGGGAATTGGTCCCGTGTGTGAGGTCAGGTGGTGATGTTGGATGAGAAGACCCGGGCTCACAGTCAGTGATCGGTAGGGATGAGGTCAGGGCTCTGTGCAGGACACTTGAGTTCCTCCACCACACTGGTCACCCCATGTCTGTATGGAGCCGGCCCTATATTCTATCTAGTGGATCTGACCCTACACGCTGTGCCCCCTCCAAGTACTCCGTATCATCCTGGACACGCACTTATATCCGATCACTTCAAGGCAACTCGTATTCTTGCCATAAAATAATAAAAAGATTATTTTGGGATATTCTTCCTCATCTGAGATTCAGCTGACATACTAGAGGTATAGATGCTCCACATGTACCCCTAATAGTGACGCCACCCCTGAGCTTTGGGCAGGCCCCCCACTTCCCCTGCACACCCTCGGCATGTCCCCCAACTCTTCTTCCCCATCGCTGCAACTTCTGCGGGGTGTAGTATGCTCTGCGCAAGATAATGTGGGTGACGGTGACACCAATGGGGCGTTCTCCAACACTACTGGCCACCATTCCTCTGATACTCCACCTGTATCTGTTTCCCATCCCTCACGCTTGACCTGCTCCCCCTTCTGGACCCTTGACCTGCTCCCCCTTCTGGACCCTTGACCTGCTCCCCCTTCTGGACCCTTGTCCCTTCTGGACCCTTGACCTGCTCCCCTCCCTCCCTGCTGCCCCCCATTGGTGTTTCCTATATCTCGGATATTAACCCTTGTCTCTTTGCAGTGTTTGCTGGCACTACAGAAGGCTTATCGCACATAAAAGGTGCCTTTCTACTTTCTGTCATTGCAAGTATTTATTACCCCAAATCATTGTATTATACCCAATCGCACCCCTCATGCTGCACGTGTGTCTCCATAAGAGGGCCGGATGGGTATTCTCAGGGTCCATCTCTCAGTAGGTATCTTGTTGTAGAAAGGCCGCATGGAGTTTGTTTGGTCTCGCACATGTCAGGCGGCTGTGGGAATGTTTTGGTCTCGGGCTGTTTCCACAGATGACTTTACTTTCCTTCTCTTTATCTCTTCTGTATACTTAGGTGATACTCTCGCATCGCGCGTCGCTGCGTCCCAGCTGACCTGTCTGGGGTGTCCGGAGCTGATTGCGAAGGGCAGGCAGGACTACGAGGACATCGCGGTGAAGCTCGGCACAGACCTGGAGTAGTGAGTATCCCCCGATCTGTACAATGTCATC